GTGATCCACCCGCCTCTACCTCCCAAAGTGCTAGGATTACAGGTGTGAGCCACCACGCCCGGCCAGGAAGATAAATATTCTCACCTTGCATGACAAGAGTGCTAGTTTCCTAGTTTTATTTTTCACAACAACAAAAATAATCAGTAAATCACCACGCATGTTCTAACATCCCACTGTGTTCAGAATCATCTGGAGTTTTGTTTGTTGGTTCAGTTGACTGTTTCATAATGCAGAGTCCTGAGGCCCGCTCTCAAATACTATGGCTCGATAGGGATGGGAAAAGTAATGATTTTTCATTCCCAACAGGTTGTAGGAATCAGCAGCCTGTATGCAAACCATGAACTCCAGGGATGACACTTAAGTGCAACAAGTGCTGGTCTTGGAGCAGATGTGAAACTATTGGTAAGAAAGGGCAGGGAAGCAGAGATAGAAAGAGGTGAGGGAGGAGGGAGGAAAACAGGAAGAGAAGGAAAAAGATAGGGAGCAAGCGAGAGACAGGCGAGGAGGGAAGGAAGAAAGGGGAAGGAGAGGGAAGAGAGAGGGCACAGGAAGAGAAAGGAGGAGGAAATAGACGCAGCGGAAGGGAGAGGAGGGAAATGAAGGGGAAGAAGAAAGGGAAAAGAGAGGGAGACAGGCAGGGGAGACGTGGAAGAAGGAAGGGAGAAACCAAAGTGGAAACTTTCTCAGTCTTGCATTTACCAAAATATTAAAACACACACATTCCACAGGTCAGTGGTATAATCAACAATAGCTTTGCTTTTGTTGGTGTGTTTTTCAACTTTAGGCCAGCAATTCTGTAACAAGGACCCTAAGGGGAAATACAAGAAGTTTAGGAGTAATTTTCTCGGTTCTGGCAAATATAAGCATTTGCCTGTGTATTACAGAATATAAAGGCTAAAAGAATAACTTAAAAAACAGTGATAAACAACATGAGGAGTGAAAAATGAGCACTCATTTGGCACCCACTGTATGCCACATCCTTCCTTCCCAATCTCACCTTTCCTGGTCCTTCTCCAGGGCTTCCTGCTCAGCCTCCAGGCTGGCCTGGAGCCCTGACTGCTCTCTGCTGCCGCTGTTCAGAGTGGCAAGTTTCTGCCTCTGCTCTTCAATCTCCATGCCCAGGGTTGAGCGCCTCTGCAGGGCAGAATGTCTCCTCTCCAGCCTGGCCACAGCCCGCTCCAGTGCTTCTCTCTGCTGCTTCTCTCTCGACTCCAGAATCTCCTTTTCCTTTTTCCTCACTTTTTCCTCCTGACGCGCAATGTTGGCAGTGAATTCAAAGGTGGCTTGGAGCTTTTGCAGCTGGCTTGCATTGGCTTGGTACTGTGCAAGCTGTTCTTCTTTTTCTTCCATTTCCTTTTCTACTTGATAAAGAGTATTGTCCAAGCTGAGAGGGGCTCCATCAAGAATTTCAAATGCTCTCTGCTTTTCTTCCAGCAGAGTTGGCAAGTGATTCTGCAGGAGGTATTGTAGCTGGCGTTCCTTATATTGCAGCCTGCACTCCACTGGCTTCATTTTCTCGAAATCTTGGGCCACTTGGGTGACATCTGTGACACTCTCATCATGTTTTCCCAACAATCTAGATTCTTTGTCCTGTTCACATTTTAAACAGTCTAGGATCTCCTGTTCTTCTCGGATTTCTTTTTTCAGGAGGTCTTTCTGCTGAAGCAGGTCCCTCTCCAAGTTCATCAGCTTGACAAGCTGCCTTCTCTTGAATTCGGAGAAACGCAGTTGAGCCTTTTCTAACTCCTCGCCATCTTCATCCCCTCCAGCACGTGCCTCCTTCACCCGCAGGAGGGATTCCCTAATACCTTCCAGATCCTTCTTCTCCTCTTCCACCCACTGCACCTCCCCGCACCACAGGAGCTGGATCATCTCCTGTTTCTCTCGGAGCTGCTCTTCCAGATGGGCCACGAGCATCACCTGCTCCTTCTCCTGCTCCTCCAGTCTCTTTTTTTCCAGTTCGAGCTTGGCACACTGTTCATCTTTTTCCCTTTGGAGTCGGTCCAGTTCTTGAAATATCTGAAACTTCTCGGCCTTCTCAGTGTTGTTGAGTTCTTTGAGTCGCTGGAGCTCTTCTTGGAAGCGGAGAAAGCTCTCTTCTTCTTGTCTCTTCTTCTGCAGCTCGATTTCCTGCTGTTCCCTCAGCCTTTCCTCTTCAAACTTTTCCTTCTCGGCGAGTAAATCCTTTAGCTTGTTCTCGATGTGGAAGCTGCGGCGTTTGAGGCTCTCCTCCTGCTTGCGAATCTGGAGCTGCACGATTTCTGTCTCCTTGCGCTGGGTCTCCACCTCCTGCTGCATCCGCTCCAGTTCGGCCTTGTCTGATTTCTGCTTTTCCTCCATTTCTTCTATGAGTTTCCTGAAATGCAAAGCACCGACTGGTCATTATCTAATCATTGTTCAAACGTTGCTCTAACTTTACTGAAATGTTGTGAAAATGCACATACAACGAGGTCAAAGCCTCCATTAACATAAAAAAAAGAAGAGCAACTGTTTTCCTTTAAATTTTCAGCAGCATCCTGTTTAATATTTTCTATTTTTTAACTATCCAACATATCATGTGCCTATTCTCCTGAAGTGGCTTCTGATATCATTTCTTTGTAGAGCCTATAATCATAATGTGTTATGCATGATATAATTTTAAAAGGCCCCTGAGCTCAAAGAGAAAGAACCATGCCCAATTTAAATTAAATGTGAATAAGTTTATTCAGCCCAATGACTAAAACTCAATGGAAGTTCCGTTACAAGACAACATTAAATAAAAATGCTTATGCTGTCCTCATCTCACTGGGGTCAAATATCAAAGTCATGGTAATTGACAGTTCATTGTTCCAGCTAAAAAACTACATACTATTTAGCGTTTAATCACTAGTTTGGTACAAATGGTGAGCACCAAATGGTCCAAAATGTTAGTTTACTAGTGCATAACACTGAAAATAACTGGAGCCTCCATTAGCATAAACAAATGCATAATTTTGCGGGGGCTGGTAGTGACATCTTGTGTTTTCTCTTGGAGGACGAATGATCTCCACTGGGTCCTGCACCAAAGTTTAGAGGTGGGAGGACCTCCAGAGCAAGAGCACAGAGTTAGAATACACATACACGGCCTCCGCCTCCTGACCCACCAAACGTCCATCTTGGATGATGCTGGAAACTAAGCCAATTTACTTGTGACATTTAAACTCCAGGTCCTAAAAATAAACATTTACTTTGCAGACTTCCTATAGCCTTAGTTTCTATTCTAATTGTCATCTTTTGTCTATGTCTTGGCTGGTTAATACAACAGGAAAAACAGAAAGGGAGAAAATACAGCTTTATCAGGTAGAGAATTATTTCAGAACATATAAAGAACTCTCCAAATCCATTAAACAGCCATTTCTCCCCCGACCCTGCCCTCCCCTACACAGAAGAAAAGTGAGCAAAGAATAAGAAGCAAATTATGCATGGGGAAATGCAAATGGCCAAACAATATCAGAAAAGATGTATTAAAAGCAGGGAGGTATAAGGAAGGGAAATTGTCATTCTTTAGGCTTTTTAAAAACTCAGGGGATATTGTTAAGAGAAGATCTACTTTTGATTAAATTTAAATGAATACATTTTGGTGTATTAAATTTAATTGGTATGTTAAATTTGCCTACTGACTCTATTCCCCATTTCTCATAAATATTTGAAGACTAACTGTTTAAAAAAAATTTAAACTTGAAGAAAAACCAACTATTCTCAAAAAAAAAAAAAGACCTGGGATCATTAGACATGTAAATAACAGACACAGAGCAAGAGGGAAGTATTGAAAGAGACATACATGAAATCAGTACAGGATATTAACACAGGAATCCAGACTACAGGAGTGTTGAAACTTGAACCCCATATGACTTACCTTTTACTTTCTAATTTTTCAAGCTCTTCACGCTGCTGCCTCTCAAATTCAAGTCTAATAAAATCAAATGAAAATGAGTCACTTTTCTAAAGAGCTTTTCTCTCTCTCTCTCTGTATACAGTCATATATTAAAAAGAGCATCAGTTTTTCAAATATTACTTTTAATGACCATGAATTAGCAAGTTTAAAATGCATTCTTTGCTCTAGGACTATGATTAGGAATTAGACATACTTTTGGGAGCTTGAACTTAAGCTGAAAAGAATGAGTTTTACTTGAAGGAAAACAAACAAAAACTGTATTGAAAAAGCAGAGTTAAAAAAGACTTCTAAATGATAAGCATGTCTATTCCATGCAGCTTAGCACTGATTAGTACATAAAAAAGGAGAATCTCTACCTTAGACAGATGGGTCCTTTTACAGAGAAAAGACTGCCAGGGAGGTAGAAAGAGAGAGAGAGCACAGACATCCATTAAGGCAAACATTTAATAGGAAGGAATATCAGGAGAAAAGCAGTAAGGTACTTAATTGTCAACAGCCATGCACAAATAGATAAATCTTTTTATAAATATCACATTTCCCAATAATTTCATGAAACAAACACTCCAAAAAGTTAGCTCTGTTTTATACTTCTCACACTTCTACACACTACTCATGATAATCACAGTAATGATGGCAACTGAGTACCAATAGTAATTATAAACAGTAGTCAAACTAGTACTTTTGCTAATTTATAGATAGTTTTACTACATGTAGGTTCATGAAGTTCCTGGTGTAATTAATAGTTATGCACTACAGGAGTTACCGGGTGTTCTCAGATTGGGAATAGATTTACCATAGTGGTTGTAGAATAAAGGGATTTAGGTCACTGGGAATTTTAAAACTCACTAAAACAATAACACAAGCTGATTTCTTACCAAATATTTATTTAATTATTGCAAAGTTTCACTATTCTTATTAAGCAGCATAGGGTGTATTTATTTTTTATTTTTTTTTCAGGGTTGGGATTGGGGTTGGGTCAGACACTGCCAGCTCCCCCCAACCCTGAACTATAATTCTTAAGCTTATACATTTTTCTGCTGTGATAGAGGGCAGATACAGCTAAAAAGCTTGCTACAGAAAAAGTCACCATAAATCTTCTTCCTTGAATAATGCAAAAATCCAGATTGGAAACAATTTTTTAGTCATGAGCTAACAAACACTTCAAATTTCCCTTTCCAATTTAATAATGTGGGGTAATATTGAGAATAAGATGTCCAGTGGCCTTCATTTTTGGGGTTTTTGAGACAGGGTCTTGCTTTGATGTCCAGGTTGGAGTGCAGTGGTGTGATCATGGCTCATTGCAGCCTGGACCTCCCGAGCTCAAGCAATCTTCCTGTCTCAGCCTCCTGGGCAGCTAGGACCACAGTATGGTGGCTTTTGTAGACAGAACTGAGTATGTCTTACATGATAAGTGTTGTGCAGTGTGATTTACACATAATCTCCCTCTGTCCACCCAGCAAATTCTGAAAGCAGAAAACAATATCTCCATTTTACAGATGAGGAATCCAAAAGTTTGGGTATGTTGAACACCTTCTCCAGGGTCACCGTGGTAATATATGGTGAAGCCAGGATGTGAACTTATGGCAGCCTGCTTCCAAAATACCGCCTATTAACTCAATTTATAAGCAATGTTCAAATTTGTGATATAAAATTAAAGTATCAAATCTTTCATTGAAACTTGTTAGATAACAATATGTTTATTCTACCTGACAAATGAAAATAATCTGTACCTTCTGCATGAGAAATCAGCCATATAAATAGAAATGAAAAGCATTTGCCAGTCATGAAGGCCAGCCCATATGCAATTACATTAAGTAGGTTTAGGACTTCATTAAAACTAAAATGTGATCATTCCTTTTTATTTAACAATAAATAGAACCTTAGGAAGGATCCCAAGTTGGTATCTTCATACTTCAATATAGTTCAGTCTTTCTAGAGATATTCAGAGTCAAAAGGAATCACTGGATAAAATACTTTTTAAAACCTGACAATTTCCCTAATAGAATTATCTTTACTCTTTCTTTTCTGTGAACAAGAGCTCGGTGCACCCATCAGGAGACCTGGCTTTGAGACTGCCACGTGTGCATAGCCAAAAGTGCTACACTGAGCACTGGGCATTCAGATGGAAACCCAGCATCTGAGGATTGTTTATACACACAGGTTCTGTGTTTGACAGTCGCCCTGCACTCCCTCACTTGTTCTTCCAGACTTGGGAAGCGTATTTCTCATGCCTATTTAACAAAGCGGGAAACTGAGGCTTAGAGTATGTAAGCAGCAGAGGCAGGACTTGAATACAAGTTTGGTAACAAAATCTGTGCTGCCAACCACTGCAATTGTTGCTAGTGAGCTGCATGGTCGCAAGGAGGTAATGAGCTCTGAGTTTTAATCTCTAATGTGATATTTTCACTGAGCACCTACTTTTTAAACGTTGAGCACAGTGTCAGGTACTGTGCTAGGTAAAAGGCTACAATAGTCTGTAAAAGAGATGTGGTCCCTGTCCCACCAGGCTCCCTGTCTGTAAGCGTTGTCAGTGTGTCACACATGAGCTGCGCATAGGGTACTGACCCCAGAATTTGGTAGTATCTAGCATCAAGGCAAATTCCTGACGAAACGTGTATCTAATCTGGGTCATTCTTTCTCTTGCATGATATAGAAACTCAAGGAAAGCTAATAAAACCAGATTTTCACTTGCTACAGGAAAGGCAGCAAGCCATGAAGCTCAAGAGGACAACAGAAGCCAGACAGTGAAGAGCCCTGGATGTTATGTTAATGACTCTGGACTTGACCCTAAAGGAGGTGGCAGAAAGTGTCTTGGGCCAGGGCTGTTGAAGGACACATATTCCTGGTGTCCTGCAGAGAACAGATGGGTGGGGGAGTGATATGGGAAGGCAGAGACAAGTTAGTGGCAGCAACTTAAGTAGGAGATGACAGAGCAGGACCCAGGACAACTACTTGCCTTGATCCTAGGTACTGCCAAATTCTGGGCTCAGAACCCCATGCTCATGCGTGACACACACAATAACTGTCACTTACAGACCAGAAGCCCAGTAGGGACGGGACCACATCTCTCTTACCGACTGTTGTAGCCTCCTGCCTAGCACAGTACCTAACACTGTGCTCAATGTTTAAAAAGTAGGTGCTCATTTAAAACATCACATTAGAGATTAAAACTCAGAATTTATTATCCTGGTGAGATTATAAAGAAGTGAAGATCTCTCCCAATACTCAGCAGATCGAGCTGACAAAACGTGGCAACTGGGGGCATTTTGGTGGGGGTGGAAAGAGAAAGAAAAAGGCAAAGATGACTCTCACGTTTCTGTCCAACTCCTACAGGGGTTGGGAAGGCAGAACGTAACTGCAAAAAGACTGGGCCCAGGCAGGTGTGAACACAAATTCTAGTGTCCTGAGACCATGAACAAGCTATTTAACCTTGGATGCTACATTTCCGTAGAGGTTGAAGAAAGTAACAGGCCCCACCTCAAAGGGCTGTAGCCAAGATCAAGGGAGATGCAACACGTGAGATGCCTGCCTGGCAGCTGCGCACTTCGGGGGCTGAGCGTCGACTCGCATTGCTATGGTTTACCGAGAGGAGGAGAGCACTGCAGAAGGAGGGGCTGAGGAGTGGCAGCTGTAGCAGTGCTGGTGCTCAAGGTGGCAGAGGTTGACACTCATCGAAGCTAATGACCATGGGGACTCACTCTATACCTGGCACTGCTCTAGGCACTTTGAACTTAATTCTCACAATGGCCCTGTAAGATCACTGTTCCCATTTTATACATGAGAAATGGCAACATCACTAGCAACTGGTAGAATCAGGTTTGATTTCAGAGCCCACTTTTTTAATCTCTTCTCTGTCTTGCTTTCAAGCTAAGCGCATTTTCACACATATAGAATCCAGTGTTTACACAGGGTCATCCAACTGAGATGTCCAGCAGGCAGCAGGATACATGCAACGAGCTGGTACACAGGCCCTTATCAAGGCTGAAGATATGGACTTGGCCTTCACCGGCATGTAGACAGGAGCTGAAGCCCTAAGAGTGCGGTGAGGTTACCCAGAACACATGTGCAGAAGAAAATAAAGGAGCTTAGTGCAAAGTCAGAAAGACCACAGACTTCACAGTGATTGGCAGAGATAAATGGCCCTCTAATGAGGCTGGGAGTGAGCAGAGAAAATCAGGAAAGGGCAGGCAGGAGAGGGAAGAGGGTGTCTGGAGAAAGAGGAAGAGATCAGTAGCACAGAATAATCCCGGAATTCCAAGGAAAATGCAGAGGCCAAGGAGCACCCAATGATCTTCACAATGTGGAGGTTCATCTTGGAGAGACCTTTGCTGGGCTGGGGCTGGACTGCAAAGGTCTGAGGAGTGAGTGAGAGGAAACTGGAGACAGTGAATGTAAACATAGCAGAGCACTTACTTGGTAAGTTTAGCTATAAAGGGGAGGTGGTGGTTTTAGGATGAGTGCTCATTTTAACAGATAAATAGACTTGTGCCTATTTAAATCCTTGTATGAACAAGCAGGAGACAGAGAGATTGAGTGAAAAAATGGGAAGATGCTGGGAATATCGGATGGACAGAGAGTTCTCTGAGCAGGCAGGAAAGGAAAGGGTAGCACCATGGCTGACAGCAAGGGTCCAGCCCAGACCAAATCCTGGCTCCTGTATGACCATGGGACAATCTCTCAACCTTCCTATGCCTCAGTTACCTCATCTGAACACAGATTCAAAAATAATCCTAGTCCTCAGTGGGTGAGAGGATGCAGGTCCAGCCTAGACCAAATCCTGGCTCCTACATGACCATGGGACAATCTCTCAACCTTCCTACACCTCAGTTGAACACAGACTCAAAAATAATCCTAGTCCTCAGTGGGTGAGAGGAGCCAACGAGAGTACTCACAACCACTATTAACTTAGTTAATAAGTACCAGCTATTAATCCTATAGGATCCATAGCACAGGTAGGGGAAGTTAGTCTGAAAAAGGCAAAAGTGGAGTTCTTTCATTGAGCCAGGAAGGAAGGAGAAAAGGATGAATGCAAAGCAGACATGGGATTTAAAGGTTTGCTCTCTTAGGACTCCTGTGTTCTACATGGAGGAAGGAACAAGCTTCTCTGCCTAATGATGCCTCTTCCTAAGAGCGAGGAGAAATAATGGTGGGGTTAGAAGTGAAAGAATCGGGAAGATTATTTATAATAATGAAGGGGTCAGTGGGCAAGAGAACTGATGGAGGAAATGAGCAAAAAGGGCTGGCTAGGCATCACTCAAGCTTAGAGACCATTAATTTACAGGGGCATCGATCTCTGTGTTGATGTGGTTTTCTTGGTTGCACTGAGCTCAGATGTCTAGGAATAGGCTTAGGGCAGGGAGACAGCTCAGTGGTTCTAGAATCAATGGGA